ATGGGGTTTAAATACAAAAAAATTATATTAACGACGGGTACTTATGGAATCCTATCTGTACGGATATGGCGAACGGAATATTTACATGAAACGTGATTTGATACTCACGATACGCCATCTAAATGTTCGGTAGATAATAGTCAATCTTGTTCAACAAAAGAGCCTTCTAATACAAGATATCATAGCAGGCAATTAAATAAAATTCCCAGTTCAAGCGATACGAAAATAACAATATAGAATTACTTATACGACAAAGATATTTATTTTCACATAAATAATACTAAGAAGGACTTATTGGACATTTTAAAAAGTTTCACATTAAAAAAATAATACTTCTCCGCCAGAAGACTTCCGCCATATTACTGTGTATTATATAATAATAGTAGTGTAATAATACTTCGCCACATTTAAATGTCTCTGTCCTGCATCTAATTAAAAGGAAAGTACTCAACATTGATGCGAATAGTTGGAAAACTGCAGTCTCACATATCATGAAAGCTGAGAATTCATATTTTCCTACACATAATATACAAAATATTATCATCAATTTAAGAGACGACAGTGATAGTGACACAGATTTGATATAATATCTATGTGATGTAATATTTATACTCGTTTTGTGTGTGTGTGTGTGTGTGTGTGTGTGTGTGTGTGTGTGTGTGTGTGTGTGTGTGTTTTGTGTTTTTTTTTGGCACTGGTTTTCACAACCAACTGACCAGTCAAATTCATAATGATTTTTTTAGACTACAACTTATCACTAACTCAGAGGAGTAATGTGTAGTGTCTGTGTTGAGTAAATATCTTGTTACTTTAGTAAAGTCGACTTCATTGTCTTTACAAAGAGACGCTAATTGTATCCGAACGTCTGCGGTCCCTCCGGTGAGTACCGATTTACTCGTTTTAAAAGGTTCATATCAAAGGTTTATGTTAACTTGTTATGTGTAAGTTTTCCGTTTCATGTCTGAAAAAGTTGGCAAGAAATGGGAAGTTTCATTATTAATTTCATGAAAAAAAAATTATTCTTCAATAAAGGTTATGCATCACATAGGAATCATTAATCAATAATCTTATAAAATATTAAGTGGTAGATAGGAAAAATCAAAATTATTAATTAATACCAAAGAGGAAAGTGATTTTAAAATTAGATATGCAAGAAAATGTAATTTTAAAATGTTTGTAGGTATTAAAAATTATGTCCAAGTTTAGATTAATGGCCTTCTAATAATTAAATATTACATTTAAAGTAAAAAGTAAATAAAAAAAGACTTTTGCATTTGTTGATGTATTATGAATAAGGTAAATTAGAAATGAAATTAAAAATTAATGCACCTACTGGCACATCATTAAAAGACTATGAATCTAAATTTAAAATGACATTTTATTCTGTACCTAAATTTAAAAGCCCTTCACTTTTAAGCATAAATCAGTATTTTTGATTTTCGCTGTATACCACTTAAAATTTGATAAATTTGATTATTGATTATAGATTTCTATGCAAAGTAGAATTTTTATGAAAAACATTTTTTTTTCATGAAATTAATAATAAAGAAATTTCCCATTTGTTTCCAACTTTTTCAGACACACTTAGATACCTTACTAACAATATAAAAAAACTTCTTCCCTTACATGGAATATAAAATATGATCATATACAGCTATATGTGAATATAACTACATTAATTAATTTTCATTTTCACTTCACTATTTTATTATTTCACTGTAACATAACAAAAATTGATTATTACTTTCAAAATTTGGTTATATTTAATAAAGAATCGACACAGAAAAATATAATAATTAATTAATTCTAATACTCCATCAGTTTATGTATTTTTTCTCTTAATTATCTAGATATTTATTTAAATTAAATATGTAATGTAGATGCTAAATAAAATATAAAATTCTTTAAGCCGTCCTTTTACTATTTACCTGAAGAGGCAAATCTCTTTATAGTTTCGCCTTTATCAGCGGGATACTTTTAAATCCTGCATAAGTCAATTCTTATAATTGTGAACCAACTTTAATAGGTTCCGGTAACCTATTACTTTTGTCGCCTATTACCCAAGCTGCAAGCAGCTCAATTTCGCTTGGCTTTTTGTAGTTTCTTGTAGTAATCATAATATCTTTTTCAATAAACAAATACTTTTTAGTATTTATAGTTTATTTTTGTTTCAACCGTAAGTGATAAACATTCTTCATACGTTTGATGGTTGTTAAAAATAAATATTAAACATATACAGCTGGCACAGGCTTAAAAATAGATGATTCAACTACTAGACTATACATAAATTATAAATTAAATATTAGATATATATATATATATATATATATATATATTATATATATAATAACTTATGTAATATAAGGCGAGAGGAAAAAAATATTAGTGTATAATATTATTTTATTAAATAACTCGAGAATTCAGTTTTGCATTAACTACATATAACTATATTAGAATAAGAGCAAGCAAATTCTAATAACATACTATAATAACAATAAACATAGTCTCTGTCTTATTAATCGTACGTGCTTACGGTGGTATTCCCAGCTATTAAGTGGCAAAACATACAGCTCATCTTAAATTCGGTGAAAATGCCATCCTATTCTGTTACTGATTGAGCGAACGATTCCCATCGTTCCATATTGTCACGGTCACGTTAATATATCGAATGCCGATTCGAATACCATTGCGTTTTACGTTATAGTTACACTGTGCCAAAAGTAATAGGCAGTTTGCTGTAACCTATTATTGAGAAAACGAATACTACTTATTGGTTATAGTGTTATTTATCCGAATACGTTATATAACGCCCATCTTTATTCTAATGCTATATTTATTTCATTTTTCTAATGTGGTATTGAAGCGTAACTTGTCTGATGCCTTGTATAAGGCACTAAAACGTTTTTGACGTAGATTTCTAAAAAAATATTACTTATTGTACGCAAGTAAAATACCCCTAGGAATAATCAAAACTATCGAAAATACCTATCAAAATAATACAATAAAAGTAAAGGTAGAAGAAGAACTAACTGATCCTATTAAAGCTGGCATTGAGACAGTGAGATTCTTTGAGTCCTCTATTGTTCAATCTGATTATGGATGAAATAATAAAAAAGTAAGAACTTAAAATGGAAGAAAACAACTTAAATAATCTGCTATGGAGTCGTCGCAAGACTACTCTCTTAAAGTAAAGATTGTTTACAACGTATGCTACACCAATTTAATATAACCGTCAGAAAATTTCCACATTAATTTTTTCAGAAACGACAAAATTATGATTGACATGATTAAAACAATTTTTTTCCTTGCACAAATAAACCTAAGTAATTTATATTTTCCCCTTCACGAGATTGGCCCAAATATTAAATTATTCTAATTTAAAAAGTTTTTATTATCTCACATTATTTGCTCATTGTGTCTAACACCTCTACATTCGTTATTCTACAGGTCCATGATATTGTGTACATTCTGTCATAGCACCATCAACGGAATTAATAATTTTTCAGATTCTTCTATTGTCCTTGTTTCCTACTATATAGCAGTGTGGAGGCGATATAATATCGTAGTAATCTTATTCGAATTTCTATATTAAGGTTAGAGTTGCAAAGTAAGTTTTTGAAGCGAAGCTTCTATACTGGAGTTATATTACTTTTTCTCTGTTGTAAAAGAGTTGTCATATTATCATACTTCTTAACGCTACTTACGTTCCACGAAAGCGCCTAAGCCGCTGTAAACAGTGGAAGAGTCTATTTAGAAGAATTTTAACTAACTTAAATAATATTAGCTTTTATTTATTTGAATTATTTATAGATTTACCTCGTGTTTATTAAAATTACAAGTGTTATTAAAATAACACTTCATCCAAATATAAAAATATTATTTAAAATTTTAAAATACAGAAATCATAGTTTGAAGCTTCTCCCTAGTCGACAGTACTTCCTAATGTACCACTTTTTTATGTTTTTTAAAAGTATCTCTTTCAATTTAAATTCTAGATCTAATTTATTTTGTTTATCTCCATCTTTCGTTAAACATACTATTGAGTATTATACTGTTACTTTTTCTATCGTTTTGTTGCTGGTGATAATATTATTACCTACATCTCTTGGTTGTTTTGACGATATAATACATTTTATTTCCTTCATTTTTATTTCCAAGTATATGATTTTTCACGTGTTTTATATTCTATAAATGTTGTGTGTGCTTTTGGTATAGATTCTAATCTACCTTCAGTGACCGCCTTAGTAGTGCTGGGGGAGAGTGCCAAGTTATTGAGTATAACCTGAGTAAATCGCTGTTTCGAATCCGACCACGTGTAAAAATAAAACAATCTGCTAAATAAAAAAAAACTAATGTATAGCAGATATAACACAATCTTAAGTAGTTTTTATTGTTATAGAATTATAAGTCAACCGATTTCGAGGCTTATAATATATGCCTCATCATCACGCGACAGTACAAACGTATTTGTTACAAAAATTAATTTTAACACCCTTAAAAAAATAAAAAATGATATTTTAACAAAATGTGATTGTAAAATTAAAATATGTGATAAATTATATTTTAATAATTAAACATTTTACTTATAACTACAACTGACAAAGGCAACCATAACTAAATTTATAATTTTAAATTTTTAAGAAAAAACTCCCTACTACATACATAAGGCTTGGTCAATAAGCCTTGAAACGGGTTAACATAATAATTCTACAACAATAAAGAGCTACTTAAGATTGTGAGTATTAACTCATTTTCTATACGTTTTTATTGGAGAATTACATTGGCAACATTTTAATCATTAAACAAAAAACAATAATTTCCATCTTAGCCGAATAGGTACACACCCGATGTACAGCGATATTTGGATATAAGCAGATCTTTGTAAAGACGATGAGGCTGACTATACTTAGTAACAAGGCATTTACTCCTAACAAGCACTACACAAAATAACCTTCCATGGTTAATGGCGATAATATTAAATAATAAAATGACTTTTTCAGCCACGATTATAGGAGGAATTTCAGGATTTGGCGTAACAGGTGGTGCCCACAGATACTTCACACACAAGTCATATAAGGCGAGGTTGCCATTAAAGATCATTCTACTAATTTGTTACAGCGTTGCTGGTCAAGTAAGTAATGGTTATTTAATACTCTTGATTTTTATTTTAAACTATGTAATTATGTGTTCAAGACGGTCAACAGATTTAATATTTATAATAAAAATATTCTAAGCTGTATCGTATATTCCAGGTAGCAACATAATTCCAAAAGTTTTTATCGTCATCTAGCCAGCTCCTTACACTGTTTAAAAAAAACCCTTAAAAGTGGTCACTCTTTTCAGTTGTAAGCTGCTTGGATCCAGGTTATTCTTATTCCATTTCAACCATTTACTGCTAAACAAACTTTAACAATTGGAAGGCACAAAGATATATTTAGATACATAGAAATTATTCTCGAACTTCTGTTTCATTATATATATTGCGTCAAAAATAATATATTTCAAACTTCAATCTTTTATCTTACTAGGTTAAAAACCATTTTCAGTATATAAATAAATATAACGTGAAACATCCCGTTCTTTACATCACTTACATAACCGGAATTAATGTACACAAATATTAATATAGTAATTAGGAAAATATTACTTTCTATTCTAAAAAACCAAAACCTTTTATTGTGAAGTATGAAGAAACATAGTTTTAGAAACAATAAATTTATTTTTTGTAAGCAACCAAACACCTACTTTATTATTATGCAAAAATATATTTATCTTGTTAAAAAATCCAGTAACACATCAAATAAATTTATAGAGCTTTATAATAAATAAAAATAAATATCGTATATGTGTATCGTTTTAAATGAGATATTTAAAATCAAATTACGTGCATAATAATAACAGTGGTGTAGAGTAGAAAAAGTTAGCCAAAATGGATCTTACTCTCGTCATTTTTGAACATATAATGGGCCCCCATTTGTTCCGCTAGATTACACACAGTGTTTTTCTTTATCTAGTTCCAGCATGTTTCCTAAAATGACTGTCTAACTCACTGCTTTTATCTGACTATATCTTCATCTCTTATTTTTTCAAGTAGTACCTGCGAATTTCCATTTCATTAATTTCAAGCAAAAAGCACCGAATATGGAAAACCCGCAATAATATGGATTAAATTTAACAAAACTTTTGACATTATTAAAGAATAAAATATAAATATATTAGCCGCTCATGCATAATATGTCATTTTCATCTAGCTGGCCCGATTTTGCTGTGTTGGTCTAGCGGGTATGCCCTATCTCATTTGGTTCGGTATTTTCTATGCCCTCCAGTCGCAGTTTAAACCGGCGGTATCTTTGGTTTCGGAAGATACATGGAGGGTTGGAGGTTCCATGGGAAAGCCACTGAGAAAACTTTTCCTCGATTTCAACAGCAGCTAATCGTGTAAGTGCTCTTCCGCACGGAACATTCATATTTGTCTGGAGCGCTCCGTGTACTCCGTGGTTCGTCTTCGCAGGTTTGGTAGGTCGGTTTTCGCACACTGATATAGTTTCTCTAGTGACACTGCTTTCAGGTACCCATGCTTATTTTAGGGTCACGTCCCCTTTTTTAACGTGTAATGATCTACCTCAGGCAGGGCATGTATACTCGCCAGTGGAAAATCTGAGATCCTTGGCTGTAGTGAGGAGGACGTTTGGCCGGGCTTCCCGGAAGTTCTGTCGTAGTAAATTGTACAGTGTCGAAGTACTTCCTCGAGCTTGGTTTTGGCCCCTTTAAAGGTTTTGTCATACGGCCAAAGTAAGGTCGTCAGTATTTAATAATTGTTTAACTAAACATAAACAGCTAAATTATTATTATTAATTCGTCTCCATACATTTGACGTTGGAAATTTTCTCTCTCTTTCTCTCCCGAGAATAAAAATGTTCATTTTGTAAATATATTTAATATTTATTAATATTATTATCATGATAAATTATACGTATATATATATATATATATTATATATATATATATATATATATATATATATATATATATATTGGTATTTTTAAAGACTTATTAATATTGCATTTTAATTTGTATTGACTTATTATATTGAATTATGTTGCAGTGTATTGTATTGTATGTTTATATTAATGACAAAATAAACAATGAATTTTACTGCAGAGTATGTGTAAAAAAATTTTTTGCATTCAACTCCTTTTATACATATATGAATATAAAAATATATATTTTCATTAAAATATTGATTAAATCCTTCATTTAATCATTCAAATGATGCATCGTATACCTATATACCTAATTATTTTTCTCTTTCTGCTCTCTCTTACCTATAGCATTACATATTTAATGATTGTGCAGATTGACTCCCATATAAATTTGTAACGACGACCGCGTGTATAGAAGTATAACTCCTACCGGCACTCCCATTGGACCGCTACATCCGTTTTTTTTATTTTAGAATCCCTTTTGTTTGGTAACTGTTTATGATTTTATTTATTTATGTATTTCCATTTACTGTAGTATTATATTTTTCAATCTGTTTCACGTTATAAGAAATTGACGAGCCTACACTGGTAATGACTAGTATGTTCTTGTTAACGCTGGCCATTCCTTCTAACATTCACTCATTCACTGCCAAGACCACTATTATATAACTAGATTCGACACATAAATGTTTCTCTTCAGACTTTAGACACACGGATTATGTAACTGGGCTATGCATTTGGAGCTGAAAATTTAGAACTTGGGACTTTGTTCTTAACTGTGTTGAAATTTGTTTGAGAAATAATTCATTATTATATATTTTATTTATGTATCTAATATAGTAATTACGCATATTTTATTTACAATAAATATTAGTAGTTTACCACTCATATTTCGTGATTCAATAAACATACTAAAAAACTAATAAATGTGACATTTATGTTAAATATTTTAGTTCTACTGTAAAAGTAAATTTGTTCCTTCACTGACTAATTTTGTTATAACACTTGGTTTTTTAATGGTCCTTTTCTGAGATATTCTATCTATTTCTTTGGTACCTATTTTGTTATTTTCGATATTAATAATATAAATGTAGAACAAAAAACTATTTTCAATTCCACAGTAGGCTTCAAAATTTTCGCAGAATTTATTAGCTTTTTCAGAACAATAATATTTTTAGAGTAATTTAACTATTTTTTATTAGTTATTTTAAAGTTTTACATTATGTATATATTTTCAGATAGTTTTTTCAATATTTTGTTTCACATTTCCATATTGTTTTGAAGCTATTTTCTTAAAGAAATTACTACTTTAATTGGGAATAAGCCACAATTTAAATTTAAAATAAGTTTATTGACGTTTTAACAGCCGCTTTGGAAATTGTTCTTAAACTAGAAAACAATCAATTAAACAAATTTTTTAGTAAAAATTTTTCAATTTCCAAAATTAAACAATATTGGAAATTGAAACGACAATAAACTTATTTTAAACTTAAATTGTGGCTTATTCCTAATTAAAATAGTAACCACTTTTCCGTGTATCAAGAAGTATCTGTCTTCTTTTTAACCTTCTTCCTACTGCTGTTTACCTTATTATTCTTTGGTATCTCACTCTCCTAAACTCTCTCCCTCTCTCTCTCTCTCCCTCTCTCTCTCTTTCTCTCTCTATCTATCTCTTCCTCTCTCTTTCTCTTTCTCCCTATTGATTTACTTCCACACTCATAACAAATTTTTATTATTGCATAGCATATAAAATGCATTGACAATGAGTTTTTGTTCTAGGCCGTTCCATTACAATTGAATCGGAATATTTTTGAGACTAAATTATATTATAGTATAAGACTGGGCCCTAACCAATTCTACTTTGATATGTTATCACTCGTTTTTATAATTTAATAATCAATGTCTCAATTAAAGATAGTATAACATCATATTTTTATATTTCAGAACACGCTATACGACTGGGTACGCGACCACAGAGTCCATCACAAATTTAGCGAAACCGACGCAGATCCACACAACGCCAAGCGAGGCTTCTTTTTTTCACACGTAGGATGGCTCATGATGAGAAAACATCCAGAAGTTATTAGAAAAGGGCGGATGATAAATCTAACTGACATTACTGGAGATCCCTTGGTCGCTTTTCATGTGAAGTAAGTTATGACTCACTTTCTATAAAATATTTATATGAAATTTGAAGTAACTTTACAATATATAAATTAATTTAAGATTTTTAAAGAATTAACATACCACCTATAATCCTTGATTATTGTATTCCATTTCTTTTCAATACGTCTCAACTCAAATAAAATGAGTTTTTGTTTCGTCCGCTTTCCGTAGACTCCTGCTAAAACAGGTTGCTTATTTTAATATCCAAACGCACTTCGATATTATTTTACCGCCAATTCTCTTCTTCTCGATATAAAAAAAAACTCATTTTTACGAACACAACAGCCAACCGCCTCTCTAATTCGTTACAAAAAACAAGTTTTATTGTTTTTATGCAATTTCTTCGTAATATATAAAAAAGTTGATTTTTAGAACCCACCGTATGGGACATGTAAAGTTCGTTAAAATATTGTCGGTGTTTTTCCTGCAACAGTTGAATAAAGGGCATTTAGAGATTCTACACCGGTCCTCGTGCCGAAGACTTCATCTCCAAGACTTCTATCCCGGTACTCCTACCGGAGAGACTCATCAAGATTCATCTCTAAGACTTCGTATCTAGTCTTCGTGCCAAACACTAGTTAAATACCAATTTCGTACTCGATCCTCAAGTAGGATAGTTCTTACACGCGCTCTACGTAAACCTTACCTTCGTAAACATAGCATAAAAATAAATAGTTAGTGTTAGTTAAATACTTTTGTAAACTACAAACTTTTGTAGCTAAAGTGAAATTTAAACTAAAGTGCAATTAAATAAAACAAGCGTAATTATTACTAGTGAGACGTAGAATTTTTTTCGACGAAGGATTATTTAATCCAAGTCCACATACTTGGCCAGTTCCAACGTCTGGTCTGCTTCTTGTGTTGTAGAAAGGACACAATCAAAACAAAAATATTTCTACAATTTTTTAGATCTGCAATTTTTTGTAAAATAAAGACCCATATTCTTATCGTAGTTCAAAATTGAATTAAGAGACACATTAAACACATAAAGTACTTACTTCTCTTCTTGGCCCGACGCTTTATAAACTTCCCTACGACTACTTATATATGTTTTAAGTCTTATAATAATTGTATGATCACTTAACAAACAAACAAAATAAACCTGGCCCAACGCAGGATTTACATGACTACGGGATTAGGGTTTTACGCGAGACAGCGGTACGCCGGATAGTCTCTTGTCATGTCCCGTGTTCCGCACTTTTCCATCTGTCTCGTCCCGCATCTATTTTCCGCTATCTAAATAAGTAGTCTTTTCTAAATAAGTAAATATATTTTTATAATAATGATGTAAATACATATTTCATCTTTATATTTTTACTAGGCATATTTTGTTTTTACAAATAGTCTTAATAATTAAACAATAAAATTACATTATTAGATTACTTGGCTACAATTTAAATAATTACTTCAGTTTCTACAAGTGGCACCTTTTCTGTATAATGTATTGTGTAAAAATTTCTATTTTCTTCGAGTTTCTCCCGTTTAAATTATTTCAGACGCTATAATATACAGGAGTATTCACACAACAATAGGTTTCAATATTTTATTGTCGTCTATTTCGTCGTCAATGTGCACTCTTTGTACAGTGAATAATTTTTTATTGTCTTCACCATTAGAGGACCCAGGACATATAAGAAGAATTAGTTTCCTTGTTTGTTGCTTCCAAAATTAAGGCTTTTTTTCACATTTTTTTTAATATTCTCCGTTTTTTTGTCTCTGTTTCTTATTTCAAGGAAGAGCCACATTCCAATAAATCGAAAGATTCAATTTGTTGGCAGATTCCATTACTATATGTCGGACAATTTTCAATACTAAAGTGACTAATCTACCAAATTGAACTAAACGGTAGCGGCAACCATAAAAAGTTCATTAGTAAATTCTTACCGGGGTCAGTTTTATTGTGTATGCTCGCCCATGTGAAATATGTAAAATTTGTAACCCATCTAAGATAAATTTTGCCCCCCGTAACAAAATAAATTGGTGCGATTCACTGATGTATAGTGAACAAGTTTCATAATTAGTTCGAACAACGTAAATATGCAATATTTGCTGGCATATATAATTTACGGTTTTAAAAGAATGTTAATGAGAGAAATATGATCTTTATTATGAAAAATATCTTTCAACTTTATACATATGTACATAGCGTAGTATACTTAGATATATTTGATTAAATATACTTATTATTAACTTTAAAATAGTATTTTGACAAGTAAATGTAAAATTTGAGGCCAGTTTATTCTCTTTATAGTAATAAAAACCCTTACGGCCGCCTCATATACAAAAAAATTTGACAATTAAATTATTAGATTGGATTAAAAACACAAATTAGAATAAATATACAACCAAAAACATTTTTTTTCTCATTTTTAAGGAAACAGAACAATGTTTAATAAAGAACATATTAGCATCATAAACGTAGATTAAATTTAAGGTAAAAAATTTCGAAATATGCGGGTGCAGATCATTCCAACACTTTATTACATAAATACAATAGTATTAACTTTGAACATCCTACATATTTGCACTAATCGTCTCTTTTTATAATGTGGCCAATATTGTCGAAATCTGGTTTCATCTGGTAAAGCAAATTTAGATGCGCCCATTACTTGACACTGAATGTAGCGGTTTCTTCACTATTAAAAATTAAAAATATAAATCTATGTCGCTCATGCTCTCTTATAATATAGCACTTATTCGTCCTCATCCTTTGACCCACCTATCACTTGAACAGAGTAAACCAATAATATACAAATCTAATAATTTTTTAAATCTATATTATTCATTTCAAAATTGTGTACGGTTAATTCTCATTACTTTTTTATCAAAAAGAGTGAAAAAACTTCAATATAGACTTACCTACATGGTTGGCTTTTATATAGTCTAAACTATCATCAACGGATGTTTTATTACTACGAAAGTAAAGAATAACCGGTATTACAACTTTAGGATAAATTTGGATTTACATTTTTGCCTGTTTTTTCTTATGGACCATTTTATTGTGCCTTCAGAGGAAGTATCATCTCAGAATCCGTTAAAGTATCCAATTTCACTTGATTTCATATGTACCTGCAATATCCGATTTTATTTATTCTTCACAAATAATATTAACATCATCTCTCAAGGAATACAAAATATACCATCAACAATGAAAGATACCTGAACGTGAACTGTTTAAAGCAAAGAAAATAACGAATCAACACAATAAGTACCTGAACTAAGAGACGAAATAGGAATCAGTTTCCGAAGTAGAAATAGGCATAAATTCACGTCAAAAAATAGAAAGTCACCAGGACCAACGGAAAAACCAACGACTTCGACAATACGGATAAAAAAGTTTAACCCTAGATATACAAAAACTTATACAAAACTAATATTACTCCCTGTCAAGATACCAGACGCATGGAAGAAACAGATAGATGATAACAATGGTCAAGAAAGGAGATAAAGAAGAACCCCCAACAATATAGAGGTATAATCACTGAACACCGCACTTAAGCTACACAAAAGTCCTACCAACAAAATTAATAACTAACAACTTTATTAGATGAACAACAGGATTCATACCGGATGATCCTGCGTAGACGCCGTATTTGTACTAAGACAAATTCCAGAAAAGGCCATCATATCTAATTTTATAGACCTGACAAAGCCTCTTTCATCCATCCAAGTCGAAACTCTTACACCTACTGTATAAAAGGAACATACCAATCAATATAAACAACCATCGAAAGCACTACTCCATAAACCCGAATACAGCAAAGATAAATGGCTGATAAACTAACATAGTGTCAAACCAGTACAAAGCGGATCAGACAGTTGACTCGTTAACCCACGTCATCCCTTTAATGTATTAGTGATCGAAAATAACAATCAGACGTAAAAAGTCTGGCTACAGAATTGAACAAAGAAATCCAAATATTATGTTATGCAGACACGCGCATTAAATCGCCGAGACAGAAGACGAGCTCTAAAGATTAACACATATCTCAAAACCACAGCTAAGATTACAATATGATAAATATCATCGGAAAAATACAATTATCACATGTATATACCCACTACGGTGTAAAATCGAAATGAGGAAAATAATAAAAGCCGAAGAAGGTAGATACTGGGAATTAGATATAACTAGTTACGGAGATGGTATAAGAAGAAGAACGACAGCAAAGCTTAAAAGCAAGTAAATCGGCGGTTTCTCTTAATGCACAATCTGAAAGAACAAACAACCTAAGACAAAACACAAAAACAAGAGTCTATAAAGCGGATTAGACCTATAGAACATACACGCTGAGACTACAACCTGACACATCTAAAAACAGACGACTCTAGAAACAACAGAGATGAAAATACTCGTACGATATCAAGGAGAAGTCGTTGGATAGGGAGAGACAGCAAAACATAAGAAGACATGCAATATATAAGACATAAATACATGTTGACAAAACGTAAACAAAAGTTGGAACAAACACATCAGTAGAATGAAGGAGGATAGAATAGTACAATAGCACGAGCGAGAAGTCACCAAAGGGTGGACGAAGAAGGTATTGGCAAGACCAAGAAAAAGATGGCGCGACAATTTAAACAATTTAGGAAGCTATTATTAAAGAAGAAACAGTCTTTAAAACCCTCAAACTAGAGGAAAATAAGACAATATCAATGTCTTCAACATCAAAACATTCTATAAATCTCGGCGCAAATAAACTACATTAAGTGGCATTTTCACAATCTAGTTTTCTTCTAACAAAGCATTAACGTCTGTAGTAGTTAGTTCATTCATATTTCGAAATTTTACTGAATAAACAAAGGCACTACTATATAAACGCATTCGTAGATAATAGTTTTAGCTTACTTCATTTTTAATTATAAACTTCATAATATATTTTCTTATTTATATCATCAATAAACACAACAAACATTCAAATTAGTTAAAAAAAAACAAATATAACGTTTACAGCACACAGCAATCAATAAATAGAAATGA